GCTGGTTGAGAACAGCTCACCGATTGATGTGTGAAAGTTTTCGTTATGACTGGTCTACACTTCTTTGGTCTTTTTAGAAACTTTATCATATTCATATATATCCATCGACTGTTCCTTTAATTTTTGTTCCTTTAAGTGTATGTGAGAATAGTAGGTCCATAGTTCTTTATTCACACAGGGTATGCACGATGGCATAGTTCCTTTCAGTAGAGGGTTAGCGACGTTTGCGTCGCGTTACTTGTAATGTTTTATTTCGCAATGCACATTTGGAGGAAGGAATGGAAAATTGCTCGAACAATATGTCTCAATAAAAGCGACAATCATGCACCAACTCCAAATCAATTACGTCCTATCTCTATGTTGCCAACATTTAGTAAAATCTATGAACGATTATTTCTCATTAGATTCAATAGCTGGTCATATAAAATGAATATTTTGCCTTCCCAACAATCAGGTGCAAGACCCCATCAAGCAACAATATCCAGAATTAACTGCTTATTGGAACAAATGACCCAATCCCAACGCTACAATTCATTCATTCCGGTTGTTTATATTGATTTTTTGCAAGCATTTGACAAACTCTGGCATCAAGGACTGCTACCAAACCTAAAAAGACTTGATTGTTCTTCATCTTATCTTGTTTGGTTAGCTAATTATTTCTCAAATCGGACTCTGAAAATTGATTATGGTGGAGTGGTATCAACATTAATCAACGTCGAACGAGGAGCTCATCAAGGAAGTTGCCTTGGACCTGTAATGTATGTCATTAGTCATCATGATCTCCCCCAATGCTTTCGTGACCCAACACATGTTCATGCATATGTTGATGATATTGCTATTGCTTATGTACCATCCATTCACCTGAAGTACAAACTCCAAGTCGTCGAAATCGAAGAACGTATTAATAATGATATCTTAATGCTGCGACAATACGCGAACGACTAGTACCAATCTCTCAATTCAATGAAAACTGAGATGGTGGTATATCATAAAACTGTTCAATGTCCAAGACTGAATATCTACTACGATGGAATAAAGATTCTACAGAAGAACAATTTCAAGTACTTGGGCTTTCATCTTGATGCAAAGCTATCGTTTCGTAGTATGATTGATGCACAATTTATAAAATTACGAAAAGCTTATACTATATTAAAATATATCCATCGTCAATTCCCATCATTTATACAATTGAAATTAAAATTTTTTAATACTTATATTTGGCCACACATGTACACGATGTCAACGATCTATTGTCTTTTTTCAATGACTTCCCGTGAACGATTAGCAGCATTCTATAGAAGATGCTCGAGATTAATATATCACCTTTTTCAGTGTCCTACACATGAATTACATGGTCATTTTTATTTACCAACTATCGAAAAAAGATACAAAAAATGTTTGTTAAAACGAATGAAAAATATTCAATTGCACGAATCAAATCTCATCGAGTGTACACTACGATACAAATATTTATTCAACGTGCTCTATAGTCACTGTCGAATTAAAGCGCACATAAAGCCTTTACCGTCAAATCGATCAAGCAAAAGACTTTTATCCTTTCTTGATATTAATTGTCATACCTTTTTCGATAGTTTGTGTGACTTTGTCTTCTGTTAGTTCTCTCATTGACTAGTGTATTCATTCCTTTTAAATAATTTTTACTTTGTCATTTTGTGTGCTGCTTTCTCGATTCCTGAAGATCTAGTTTTAAGACGGTCAGCGCCTCAAGGTGAATTCGTCATATTAAATAAATTAAAGCGCTGGGAAAAAAAAAGAAAAAAAAAAGTGAAACACATTCACAAACAAGCAGCCTGTTGGTTGTTATTAACGAGTAAAAATCGCCTATCAAGTGATCGATTAGACCGGGTTAAAAAATCAGAAGAAAAATGACATCTTTTTTGCTCGAAATAGGTTTTTTGTTGCTCTATTCAGTATTATGGAATATTTTTGTCACTTATTGTTGTTTAAAAACTTAAATTTTCACGTTGTGTGTGTATTTGAAGCAAAACATCTTTACTATTGAAAATAAAGTTCGTTTTTGTGAATAATTACCGGATAATTAAACTAAGTTACAGCATCAAAAAGGTACTGAAAAAGGTGCTGAGAAAGTGCTGAGAAAGTGCTGAGATGCTGGGGGTTGCAAATCTGCACTTTCCCTCTTGACTTTCTTTCTTTCAATTGATAAAATTATTTTGTAAAACAAACTCATTTATTCTCATACAATAATTTTTTTCGTTTTTGTCTCAAAGCACTTATTCAATATTTTTATTTCTCACTAAACTCTTGCCAACAAAATCAAGCCTATCTTTCATTCTTAAAAACATTTACAAAAGGGACTTATTTTTCGATTTTTTCAACTCCTACAAAATTAGAATATTTCATTTACATTTTTTGGATAAATAAAAAACACTAAAAAATATTTTCAAAAAACTAAAAACGTACAAAAAACTAAAATAAATTAAGAAAGTAAATACAAAAAAAAAAGTTTATTCATTTATTCATCTATATATATTTATTTGTTTATTTATTACTTGTTCATTCTTTGCTCTTTTTCTTTACACCATTGTTAATTCGTCATTTACATTTAAAGTCACATCCACACCTCGCAAATGGAATTGTACTTGAAACTCTGTATGGAATGATGTTTGATTGAAGATAATATATATTTTTTCTTGTTTCTCTTTTGTCTTTGGTGCCCTTTATATCCTATTTTTGTTTAAGTTTCGACTAAGTTGATTGCTGAAACTGAAGAAATAAAAATAGCAGGTTGAACTTGTCTTCTTTGTTAAGCGATAGGTCGGTCTGTTTTCACTCGGTCTATTAAATCATGAAAAGCAAATAATTTATATTTATTCGGAAATATGAATTGTAAAAAAAAACATTTAATTTATTTCAAAATTTAAATTACTGATAATTTAGTTTACTGTTAAATTAAACTAAAAGTAAATATTAATTGAGACTCCTAGCCAGTAGTCAACGCTGAAATTTTCAAGGCGATAAACAATGCTCTATACAAATTAATATTTCTGCAATGAGTGATAATAAGACATGTAAGAAAAGATTATTCATGCAAAAGTAGGTTCAACAGAACGTATTTGACTTTGTGCTGTAAGATCAGCAGTTTTTGAAGCACTGATATATGATGACGAGTCGAGATTCTCGTCATTTAGTATTGATTTTTGATAAACTTGGCTCAATAGAATAGATTGCTAATTATTTTGACCTAGGTCAAATGAGAACCATGATTTTGTATAAAAAAAAATGTTAATTCCAAAGTAGATAAAACAAACTGCACAAACATTTTTTTGCCCTAAGTGAATAAATAACTGTCACATGCTATTGTGTGTTTTTCGTTTTATATTGTGCATGGCCATTTTTATCTCGTTCTTTCATTTTATTTGTCTATGTATAATGCAAAGCAAGCAGTGTAAACACCATACATGAGTGATTAGTAGATTATAATAGCGGACGTCGTTTTAAAATATATGCATGCGTAATAAACAATAACAACGAGCAAAAAAATACTTAAGATTATTTTAACTCTAAAAAAGGACATATTATTAAAAATGGAATTGGTGTGTAGTATGTTGAAAAAAAAACCTATGCATGGTTTTCTTCTTGTTTTTTAAGCAACATAACAGGTAGAAGAATTAACAACGGAAACGACGACTAATAGAAATACGCAGTTTCTGTTGCTTATGAAATAATATGATGGCAAGATTATTATTTGAAATGTTTAGGATGGATTCTCATGAAGAACTGTTCTATGTTCGAAATGTTTGAAGATAGTTAGATGAAATCAAGTATTGCAACTGGAAAGTGTATTTTAAACTCAAAATAAAATTTTTCTTGATGATAACACAAGGTAAAATTATATTTGAAACATGGAGGGATTCAATCACTTCCAATTTAGAAATAAACAACGATGTCGAGTATGAATTTATCCGATAACACCATTGAACCATGTTGAAAGTGTTTGTGATAGTGTGGAACTACTCTGATTGTACTAGGCAGATTCTGTAGAAACTCAGATGTTCGTCATAAATGAAAATTATCACGAATTGAATGAATGACGTTGAGTTTATGATGAAAAAGATTCGTTGCCCACGATTGTCATAGATACTCAGTGTTGTTCTTAGAGATTCAAGCAGGCTTTGTTTACGATGCGTATAATTTATTGAAATAAAAGATAATGAAAAAAGACAAAATCAATAAAATGAGAAAACAGGTTACCATATGATAGGAACAAAAAACCCAACTGGGTATGAATATGAAAAAAAACTAGCTAGTGGATTATGCTGGTTTATATTGTTAATAGATAATAGCAATGTTCGATTTTTATCGTGTATATGTGTTTGTGGTATACATCCTGCAAAGAAAAAAGTACTGAATTGATTCAATACTGGATGATTCGGAAAACGATGTTGGCAAAGACAGATATGCTTATAATGAAATAAATATCAGAACCTTGTCTCAATGAATTATTATCAAAATGCACTTTTCAAACAACATACTTGATTTTTTTATCAAGACTGCATTCAAAAGTTCTTGCCACTTTGAGGAAGTAGTATGAGATCGTCTACAAAGGTTGTCTGATGTCCATTTTAGAGTTAAATGGATGTGGGCATTTTAGAATAACTTTAAACAGAAAAAAGAGAAATGACTCGAGTTTTCAACACTATCTAGAATCGATATTATTGCATCTTTCTATAAAGTTCAGGGTGAATCCATGGGAAACGTACCACTTTATACATGACTTTCTCAGAATCGACTGAAACTTTCAGAGTTTGTAGAGCTCGATGAGCTGATCATTTTGGTAATAAATTATTAAATGTTTGAATATAGACTCTGGCTGAAATAAGCAAAATACGATTTTCGAAATTTCGAGAAAACCATCGTCAAACTGAAAAGTTCTGGTTTTTGCGCGAAGATTTTCTTTTTAATTTTAGGATAAAAAGAAAACATCCTATATATATTCTGATAGCCCGTGTTCAGCTCTATCGAACCACATATGAGGCAAGTTGTTCAGCTTCCAAAATTGAAACTGTTAATGGAAGCCCAATAATTTCACTGCTACGCAAACTTTGTCTTCGAATAAAAAAACTCTTCCGAATTTGGGTGAAGGGTGGTATACTAGGTTTTGTAGAGCGTCGCTCGCTCTATCTTTTAGTATAAAGGGCTGCTCAGCCGATTTCCATTTTCGCTCCTTAGAGAGTCAAGACATTTATCTATTAGCTTTGTTAAGAGTTCTGAGCTCATATTTCAGGAATTTTTTAGTGAAATACTCGATGGATTAGTCTGAAAATTTAAATCCAGATAGGTCTCAACTAGTAGATATATTTTGAAAGTCTAAAAACTGTGGCCAATAAGAAAGTTCCTAACCGTTGTGTGGTGGGGATTTGGGTTTTGGGATNTTTCAACTGAAACTTCAAGTTTCAACTTTCAACTTTCAACTTTCAAGCTTCAACTTTCAAGTCGTTCCGCGATGGGTCCTTTTCTGGGCATTCCGTTCGCAGCATCCTCACCAAGTGCGATGATGTGTGTGTGAGAATGCGGGTTAGTGGTGATTCTGCAAAGTGCTGCTCATTTGAGGCTTGAAACTTGAAACTTGAAACTTGAAACTTGAAACTTGAAACTTGAAACTTCAATTGAATTCAAGTTTCAAATTTGACATATATGATAGATTTGCATAATGTAAAAAGCTTCTGCTGGTTAATAACCTTCTAGTGTCATTTTATTTCAGTTTCTGTATGTGACCTTGCCTGTTTTTTGCACTGTTTAAAAATAACCAGGTCTAAGTTCTACTACTTATGTTTGTTTTTGTCTTTTCCCTGTTTGGTGAGATCTGTTTTTTTTGCATCTGAAATCAATAAGAATGACTTCTTATCAACAATTGCACGAAAAGCGTCCTGTACGTGCTTGTTACAATGCTGTGTCTTTAATTGTGGATGAGTATATGACCATGAATGGAAGGTAAGTGAGCATTATTGTCATTATTAACGTGGGTGTGGAATCATATGATTTCAAATTTAAATCAGCTTTTTATTCTGAAAAAAGAATTGGGTTATTAACTACTGTAATAGCTAAGTTATTCTTGATTGAAGAAAACGTTCACGAATCACTGATTAATTGAGCAAATTAGTAGTGCATGCTGTTAATTATTTTTTAGGATGAGAAAATTTTGCTCGATGAGTAGTGTCAATGTCGTTGCATTTGGTTCCCCATTTGCACGGTGTTCGTTCATCATGACCATTGTTTTCTTTAGGCTTGCTTGCCACTACAAATAGGAGAGTTCTTAAGCATGTAGTCTTCGACATTTTGGTCATGGTCGCTTACCTGCAGGGGCTGGTGTTGGTAGTTTTCCGAAAACGTCTTCACCATGAGAATATTTCTTTCTGTGAGAGAACGATTTATCTGAACATCCCTTTTGTAGACGACATGGAATAAGAAAATCGGGTCGACCTGTATGTCGATAGGAAGCTCGATAGAAAGGATCGTCTAACTTATCGCATGTTTTATCATCTCGACATTTTGAAACTGTATGTGGTTCATGAGTAAGATGAGTTTCTCTCTCGCGACACAGTTCTGAATAAGGACAAGGATGAGAATATTTGGCATTATGATCAGCTGCTTCGTCTGAAAATTGTTTCAGACAATTGACATTATTTGGACAAGGCTTCAACGATCTATCATCATCTCTAACAAAGAAGTTCACTACTCTGGTTAAAATACCTGGATCTGTTGATGGTTTGTCGTCAGGTGTGCTTGACGACGCATTCTGATGAGCATCATGCCGTTTTTGATGGTTGACATCAGAATCTGCTTTGCTCGATTTATTTTCATTTGCAGAAGAAGTATCTTTCTTATAATCTTTATCGAATGTTGGATGCATGCTAAATTGTTTCTCAAAACAGATGATCAAATTTCGAATAGATATTGTGTGCGTACCAGCACTGACATGAATAAATTCCATTCTGCTTAAATCGAGTTGTGATCTACCAAATGTACATGATATTTCCTCATGATTATAAACTCCATTGGGACCTGCATGCGAAAGAACGACCTTTCCTGTTGAACGATGAACTTGTAAACAATATGTCATAAAATCGTTGCTATTACATCCAAGATAGAAAGTATTTGATTTGACTTTGTATAATTTCTTGTTCATAATCATGTCATGCTGAAATAGATGTGCAGCAGCTAAGTACGAAGTGTTTTCATGATAATCATCATCACTTATTGTAGGTTTTGGAGCGATATAACAGATTAAACAGCGAAGATGTGGTTGCTCCTCATTGGGATCGATTTCTTCATTGGATAAAGTTAACATAATATCTCAGTTCATGGCTTTCCAATAAATATAAGTTATATTGTCTTTTGATACGTGATGATTTTCAATACGATATTGTTTATATGCTTGGGAAATCGTCAGAGGTAAAACATAGTGATCATCAAAGCTTGATGAGGGTATGGTGATCACCACACCTTGAATAGGACTCAACAATGGATGAGTAGCATTCTCCTTATACTGATTAATTAATTCTTTAACTACAAAATTTTGATAGTCCACTCGTGATTTCAAATTGGGAGTTGGACCAAATGGTCCCTTTTCATGATTGGCTTCACCATCGTGTGGTACAAGAGTGATACGATGTTTGAAAACAGCATCAATCGCTTTAAGTGCGTTCTCATTGAGACCGCTAAACAAATTTTTTGGAATATAAATATGATCAATGTAATCGAGGGGAATAAGTTGAGGTAAATGTGCTTCAATGTTATGATGTGAATCAATTTTGATCCATTGATCAAGAAGTTCTTGAAGAGTAATATCCATCGTCTTTGATTTTCTATGAAAACTAGTAAGAGCCATTAATTCCAGAGCAGTAGCGTAATCATCTCCTGGTACAGAAGCATGTAACTTTGTTCTGTGATAATGTTTTATTCGTTCAGCTACATCTGTTGGATCATTACCAAGCCATGGTCACCATTTATAAGCATTTCCACTAGCAAACGATGTTGCTGCTTGAACAGAAAGGTTTGCATCAGGATGATGTAAAATCTCACGTTTGAAAACAAGAATAACATCTCCGTAATAATGACCTAAACGTGGTCCTAAGATACTAAAAACAAGTTTATCTGTACCCGAAGCTTTATCTGGTGGATGACCAATACCAGCTGGATCTGAATGAAGTTTAATGGAAGCTTGTGCAATTTCGATAGCTTTTGTATGCAAGGCAATTAGATTATTCTTTGACATTGTTTTTGATAGTTTAATTTCTTTTTTCTTTATGATATGTTCGTAGGTTTCTTTGCTAGAATACGGTGTGGTCCCTTTGGCTACCTCAGCTCCCAGTAAAGTTGGAGGAACTACAGTTGCTGCAGTAAAACCATTGTTTTCGAATTCCAGTGCAACTAGTGCAGTCACATATAGTGTAGCATCCTCTTTACATGTCTTTGTTTTAAGTTCTTCAATACGTCGCATTCGAGTATGATGCAAAACGGAATGAGCAACAAATATCGGATCTTTCAAATGTTCCATATATTCACGACTCATTACATGTCCATGCAGTAGTATTGATTCAAATATAATTGGACTACATCGATGAATGGGTTGTATAGTGCGTATCCAGTTAAGAATCTGCTGAGGAATAGCTCCTGAAGGCAAGGGTTTCCATTTATTTTTTGAAATAAAGTCTTCAATGTTTGCCACATTGTCTTTCTGATTCTGCACAAAATTTGTATTTTCATTCGAACCATAATATTGTACAACACCATCTTCACTGGCCGAAGGATGACGAAGGCTAACTTTATGATCAAATTTTCGAAGATCGCGACATTTATCGCCAAAGGGACATGCTGGCCGAATATCAGGAACATTTGGATGTGTCAAGGAATTTAAGTGTTCTTCGTCATTCAGGTTTCTACATTTGTCTTGATAATGACATAAATGACGGGCAACATGAATAGTTTTAGACAAATGTAATGGCGTGTTATCAGTACAGTTGCGACCATTTTTACACACATGAGCATATTTTATACAATGTTTTTGAGTGACGTCTGAAAGACGTCGAGTGTCTTTTGCTCCTGCTAATTCGATGTAATGAAGACAATCGAGTGGAGATCGTGGGCAAGGATTGGAAAAAGGATGTTCAAATTCTTCTAAATGGTTTCTGTCATGAAACATCACACAGAAGCTTCCTTGAGGGCAACGTGGAGCACAATGACGAAGTTTATTACAATGACTGGCAACTCCTTTTTGATATTCCATGCATTTATGTGCTTTTTCGCAAAGAGGTAAATGATGATATTGTTTCAAATGATCATCCTTCTGATTTTGACATCTACCTTCATCTAGACAGTAGTCTGGATGTTCAAACTGTCGATTATGATTTTCATCATTTATCTGTGGACACACACCACCGTCTCGACATTGATTTTGATGAATGAACGAAGTTGCCCGTCATTTATGTCATTATCANTATCATTTTTTTCAATTAAAGTTAATAGATCAAAGCCAGATATTAGAAAATATTCAATAAATATTGAACGATTTTTTTCAAGAGATTTCATGAACAGTTGCTTTTGCCTATTGATATCTGCCTAAAATAAATCAAGTATTATTTTTAGTCAATACTTTTGATTCTATAGAGATGCCATCGAGTTCTCTATGACATTTTTTAGCTGAGATACGCACATCAATATTATGAAATTTCCTAAAATCTTTTTTTACTATTGCCTATAGGAAAACAGATTTTCGGATTTTCAATCATATTGCTGTATTTTAGCTAAGAAATCTCTTAAAGAACTCAAAGACGTCGTATTTTGTAGAGAATTGTTTGTTCTATTATTATAAACAGTCTAAACAAAATTATATTTATGCGTCATAGATGCTAAAAAACTAAGGTTTGAATTTTCTGTAGACCTTATCTTTGTGTATATGATAATTCGTTTTATTTTCTTATATTCTTGTTGGGAACAATTTCCTCCAGTCAAATCGCTATTCAAGTTCTTTCTCGTGCTTCAATCAGTGGAAACAAATTGAAAACAAACCTTGTCCAATAATTTTGGCACTCATTGTACGTATGTGATAATTTAGTATTTGATTATCGTTAGAAATCAATAAAATATGCTGAAACATAGTAAAGAAAACTTAATGTTGACGCCTACCAAAATCTGAAAATCGTCGAGCAGGATATGAATAGAAAGTCCATAGAATAGAGTATAGAATATGAAAAATTCTTATCCAATCGAACTCTAGTTTATTATCGTTATACTTAGTGCTAGCAAGTGAGTGTTCATTATTAACACGTGTTTACCTGAATGAAGTCTTTTTTATTGTTGATACGTTCATTTTGTCGTGCTTGTAATATTGGTAAAACGCCATCAAAATAATTCCATTCAAGTGCCAAATCTACTAGTTTATCTTCACCTGTACGACGTTGTTGTTCTTGCTCCAATGATTCATTTTTGTCTTTCTGATTATATTCTAATTCAGTTTTCTTTTGTGTAACTATGATATAAAATTTGATCGATGAAAATTCTTATTTGTTGAAATGAATACCTGTAAATATAGCCTTGAAAATCGTTTCAGCTACATTTTTATCACGATGCAAAGAGAAAACATGTAATAGATGACGGTTTTCTTGTGTCAAAATTTTCTGAATTTGTTTTACTGCTGAAGAAACCTCTGAAAAATTGAGATTAGGATAAAATCGCTCAAGAGCTTGTTCAATTTCTTCTGAACTTGGTTTCCTGTTAAAGAAATGACTAATATAAAAACAAATTCAACCTTAAATTTTATTACCAATATTGATTTCGATCAGAATTTGATGTCTGTTCAATGAGCATAGCGAGTACATCGGCTAAACGGCCACTACCCTATACTTAAACGATTGTAATACCTGAATATTCAAGAAGAGTATGGACGACAAACTTGAATCAAAACAATAGGTCGTTTTCCTTCAATATCATGTCTAAGAACTTCAAGGCTATGCACACCTCCTTCGACAATGATTGTTACGGCATAACCTATATATATATTCAATTAATTTTAATGACAGTAGGAAAAGTTTTAAAAAGCTGCATACATGTGTGACCATTATCTGTATCTTTACAGGCTTCCGTAACAAAATGATGACGCTGTGAATCACTGAGATAGTCGTGCAATTTACCACTATCGAATAAAATACAATGTGTATGATTCCGCTCAATTGCTTCTCTATCTTCTCCAACATCTTTTGGAATCTGTCGTTCACATTTTAGTGGTGGATTTATCTATGAAATAAAAACATCATCTGTATTTGACCATTTTTTTTTTACAAATATTCTCATTATTTTACACATGATGCACTTTTAAGTTCAAGACGTGTATTTTCATTTATTGTACCCCACATGGTCATTCCAATACATTTCACTTTATTTGGATATTCTCGTAAAAGAGAATAATGTGAAATGCCTTCACCAACCAATTTGGATACACCATTATTGATACCAGTAGTAAGAATCCATGCATCTAAATAGATCTGTTTGTAAATAAAATAAAATTTAAAACTTAATTATTTACTGGCCATAGTAGCAGCATCAATAACACCTCTTATAAATTCTTTTTCAAGTTGCTCTGTCATTGTAAAATATTTAGCCCCACCATAAACACTTAATATGAGAGCTGGTTTCTGACCTCCACAATCTTCGAGAATTAATTGAAATAAATCTTTCATTGGTAATCGAACATCTAGTCGAAGATATTTACAACCGCTTGGTTGCAATGTTCCAAAAACATTGACAGGTACTGCAACAGAATGTTTGTTACCTTCGAGAAATTCATTTGGATGTTTGAATTTAGTATTTCCTCTCTTTGCCTCCGCAGTTTCTAGAGAATCACCAGTTGAACTATGAAGACGAATCATACGACCACAAGGACATAACTGATCTTGAATATTATCAGGACTAATTGATTTAATATTGTAGATACAACATGTGCGTGATTTGAACTTACAGTTTCCACTACGTTTAATAATAAGATCTACCCATGATTGTGTGTTTTCATCCATTATTATCTAAAATTTTCAGCAAATATTTCTTTTATTGATTATTTATATTCAAGTTTAACAGACGAAAAAAGATCTTCTATATTTTACAATGTCATTATTCAAATCACAATATATGGTACTATATACACATAAGTAGGATTTACTAGTCAATTGATTTCGTAGCGAACTCGTGATTTTGATAAAGGAAAAAGAGTGATTATATGTAAAATGTAAGGTTTCTGAAGTTCATCCGAAGTAGTATGAAGCCAATTTTTGTTCGATTTTCCTGTGAACAATCGAAAAAATGTCGGAAGAGAGTGACCGTGCATTTGTCTTACACACCTCCTCACACCTAAATCCATCGTTGAACAGATTAAGAATAGTTTTTTGAAGAATCATACTTCACCAAACATCATTATGATAATCATCTTCATCGTTTGTACCAGTGTTTTTTTTTTGTATAAGAAAAGTATGATAAGGGTTTCAAAATTTACTCATGTACTGTTGTCCTCAGCTACGTATTTTACTTTGTTTGGAAGGGAAATTTTGAAAAGATACTGAACCATATCGAGATTATTTTTCAAAAAGGACATACATACTCATCAAATTTAATAGTCAAAATAAGTTGATATCAATAGAATAAAACCTCTTTATAGTGAACATCCTGTGGACTTTTGTAACATTTTTATTATAGGGAAGTTTTTATTATAGAAAAGTTAATTCATTTTCAAAAATAAAGTTTTTTGAAAAAACATACACTTTTTCAACATGTTTGGAAAGTGTCAGTTCTCTTGTCATATATTTTTAACTTTAAAAATAGAAAAAAACCTATTGTGAAAGTAATCTTTGACAGAGTTCTGTCTTATCTCATTCAAATTCGATAAATGCCAGTTATATGCAATTTGAGATGAAAGATAAGAGTATACTGCTATGGTAAAAGAATAAATACGAAAAAATGAAATAGGGTTGGGTGTATGGGTGTACCGAGACTAACACCCTAACGAAAACTCATACTCCACACTTGCAGGATCGTGAAAAATGTCTACTATTACAAATCTTACTGCATATGATGTAACCTATCATCAATTCTAATAACTCAAACGACCATTTTTTAACGAAAACTACATAGAGTACACAAAAGATATATTTACAATACCTACCTTTTTGGATGAAAAAAGCAGCAATGTGCAATTAGAAACAAATTTATCATTTTTGATATCCCATCTACTACACTGATGACTTTAAAATCATAAATATTAATTTTTGCAATCATAAATAGTGTTTGAGCATGTCCTAGGATCTCCTAATATGGATTCTATAGTAAAAAAATCTTAATTTTCTCTACATTTTTGATTGAAATGTGACCATTTATGACTGCCTAAATCTACATTTATGATATCCATTGATAAATATGCAGTGGTATGATCATTTGTTCCTTAATTTTATTCTTAAGACCATAGATATAGAGTTCTAGAGTCATAAACGTAGATGCGATATCAAAAATAGTGAATTTTTTCGAGCTACACATGCCTTAAAAAAAAGTTATTAAATTCTTAAAAAGTAGTTATTTAGAAGTCTGTTTTATTCTTATCAGACAAAAATGTTTGTCAATAAAGCACTTGTCATAAAGATATTCGTTTATTGAGAAACATTATCTAAGAAGAACAAGAACGCAAAAGAAAGTGGTGCACGATTGTCCTTGCGAAAGTCCAATGCACTTCATATTTCTTTTATATGAAATAATACGTTGACATTATGCTTTGGATGAGATAAGTTCATGACTTAAATAAATTATATAATAATTCAGATTTATATAACTTCTGCAATCAAGTTTTCACACGGTTTCTACTAGCAATTCTATTACTTAATCCATTATTAAGGGTCAGCGTTTGGAAGAACTCACCACAGTCTACCAAGGACTACACGAGTGCACCACTATTAACAATGGTGAGAATGCACTCATGCTCATTTTAGGATAAGATTTAATTCCTGCAGTTCAAACGCTCGAAACCTTATTACTAAGAGCTAAAGAGGAAGACAAATGCAGGATGCAATAAGCATCAAATGAATGAATCATGTATAACAATAAAGCTATCATTTTATGAGCTTTCATCTTTCGCACCTTCAGATGTATGGAATAATACTATGGCGAGAGACTGGAATAATTTTGTTCGATAAACAACAGTATTAAATTCGTTTCTAATATCTCCGATGCATCCTTCATTAAAAATCGTTGTTCATTCTTCTTTTTTTATTTAAGATATGATTTCTGTTTTCCAAAAGAAATGAAAGTGGATCAAATCCAGTGGTAGTACTGGGTGTGGATGTGTTGATGTGGAACTTCTCTCCTTCGAACCCACACTCTATGGATAAGTTTCTTATCGTTTGTGCTTAATATCTGTACTATAGAGCTCTGATGAAAATTTCTATTTCTATAAATAACATGAAACGTCGGCGAATTAACTGTGCATTTATTTTGATTGATTAGTCTATTGAACGTATTATTTATATTTCAAACTATTTAGACTTAGCCGACTATTGACAAGCAACGGTTGAGATTAGCAGATTTAACTTATCTTTTCTTCAGGAGATCGAATGGTTTGCTTTGCTTTTAGTTTCATATGAATACTTGGAACTGCATCGCAATTTTCAACATGATGCTACTGACAGTTATTCGTCGCTCCATTCCATCAAACATAAGTCTACCTTTTCCGTCGTATGCTCATTCATCTTTTCTTTGATGTATGTCTATTGACGAAACACGAATCAATAAGAAAACAAACGAAATTCTAAATCACAATCGTCATACATTTCTTGTTGCCTTCACTAATTGTTATGCTGATCACATTGACTTTTCTTTACTACCAAATTAATCTAAATCTTTTTTATGGATATGTGTATCAGAGATCAGTTATGAAAACTTACCATGAAAAGATGAAGAAAGAGACACATAAATTTACTAGAATCAGCAATAAATGCTGACACGTAGCAATGCTTCATATAAAGGTTAGAATTAGAGAAAAAATGAAAATGAAACATATGATTGACAATTATTTCATTGTGACCTCGGTTTTTCGCTCTCAAACAATGGATAAACGTTTATTGTGTGAACTGGGTAACACACTTCGCATAGTGTGACTTGAAATATAACATATCTTTCACATTCTGTGGAAAAGCTGGTGACAATGTCCGATACAAATAGAAAGAAGTGCGAGAGTCTGTCTATATAAGTTAAAATCTGTGTGATACAAAGGCGAAAGTAGTATGTGGCTGTTGCCATTAAAGAATCTCTATGGAAAAGCACACCATAAAGATTCATAATTGTGCCTGGTATGATAGAGATGACAATAATGGTCGTTTGAGTTAAAATCAATCAAGTTACTTGTCAATTAAGATTATTTATGTTTTTATTTACAATTTGATGCTCACGAGTATGTCGAAGATTGCGCCAGGTGAAAAAAGTAATACTGGTGAGCAAACACCAACAATTGAATAAAAATAGAATACAATGTGAATAAATCCAACATTAGCATAGTCGCATACTTCATTGGCAGAAATTATATAGCAGAAAACACCGAAAGTAGCGTCGGCGCAATTGGACAAGAAAACAGTCATAGAAAATAAAAATGGAATCATGTTCAATGTCATCCATTCTCGTTTAACAGTTGATCGGCATGTATGTAAATAGCGATCAATAGCAAGCAAATATAAACTCAAGAGAGACAATACACTATCCCTAGTATAGAGAAAGATAAGACAGATGATCGCTAGTTACTCACCAAAGGAGGCTTCAGCTAGAAATAATGAACTTAGAAGCATCTGATTTTTTTTAGATCAATGAACGTTATAATAGCCAGCCAAAAAAATCACGTAAATATAGAGATATTGAGAAATAACGAAGAGTTGTTCAGGATTCGCGTATTATGAGTAGAGAAAAAAAAATTTTTTATATGTTTTCGAAAGAAACAAAACAATATGAGCTATGTCTTGTTAATATTGCAGAATAAATATTATTTGACATTGCTTCACGCTCTCATAATTTATGGCGGCCGTGCTCATAAAAAATTAAGATTAAAAGCACAATTCAATGCATTAGTGTTTTTGTACATTAAAATCACATAAACTAGCTCGATAAGTTTTATCTTGTATCGGCTCGATAAAAGATACATCGTTTGGAAGACCACAATAAACTGAGTATTATAGTTAAATATTTCATAGAAGTGTGCATTCAAGTCTCTTCAGCAAGAAGTGTCATAGTATATGATGTACAAATGCTTTTAAAAAATAATTATAATCGGAATATTTATTTTGTCAAGATGGATCATTCGAACAATAAAAACGATTTAAGAAGCATGCGCTCTAAAAACAAATCTTCATGATGTCAAATATTATTCCAAAATTAATATGCAAACATGTATTTAGAAAATCGAAGAAAATATTTTTCTTTATTTCGAACTGTTTGTAGTCATGCATTTTTGATAAGGGATGTGAGTGTGGGAACCATTGTTCTTTTCGCCCACAGCTACACATCTACATACGTAATGTATTTGCCGTTTATTTCAGCATCATTTATTGTTCGATAGAACTGTTTTATCACTTTGCTATTGCTCTTATTATCATCAACAGTTGCAGTAACACGAAGGGTACCACCATAAGGTGTGCTCTGCTCAACACATGGGTGCAATAACCGAAAGGAAAAGAAAAGAACAGAAAATGTTTTTTTTCTTGAGCTGTACAACGACGGAAAGAAAAGAGGAACAAAGAATTAAACAGTTAGTTCTCGTCGACCACCAAGAGTAAGCATTCTACTAAATGTGACGATGCAAAAAGACACATACAAGAACAAAGAAATAATATAATAGTCAAACTCATTGCACTCAAAAGTGTTGTAATAGGTAACACAACGTATATGAACGTTGTACTCATTAGTTTTTCTCTGCTTGTTAGACGACATTGCTTTTTTTCTATCCGCACAAGAAGAATCTTATGTCTAAAGTGCATATTCGAAAACTATGTAATTT